TGAGTGGTTGCAGCTGCAGGGCAAACAATTTCTCTGGCTGTAATTCAAACAAACAAGAAATATGAACTGGTTTATCTTGAAACAAATTTGTTTTTTTAAACTTAGTTTTCAGCTAGACCAGTTCTCCCCAATCTGGTTTACTACATAGCCACAGCAACGCTTCCACTGGCACACGAAGCGAGAAGGAGGAAGAGAAGAGAGGATGGGGTTAGTTTTTTCATAAAAATTCTTGTTTATACTAGCATTAAAAAGGTCAGCAAAATGCAATCTCATTTTCAGCCGGTGAGTCAGCTACAGTTCTGTTAAAGATGTTGCACTCTGTCATTAACCCAGTGAAAGAAGGACCCAGTGAAGGAAGAGCAGACTTCCCCATTAGCACTTCCTGCTTCACAGCAGTTCTCAAATATGAGGCCAAGCTGCCCAGAGTTAATATTCTCTCTCTGCATATACCAACTAAATCATATCCAGATTCTGCAACATACTTTAGATGTTAAGAATGGAAATTATGATTAAGTTAGAGCTATCTGAACTACTTTTTGCATTAATAATTTTTCCTTTGGTTTAGCTATTTTTTCAGTAGAAGCTGTACATCAGTGCAATAAATATGAAAAGATGACTGATGAGTTACATATCAAATCCTACCGTTCTTTTAAATATGTAACTTACTTTCCTATCATTTTCAACATTTATATATACTAGCAAGAAGTTTCTCCAAATATTTGTTACTGAAAGGAAAATTACTGCTCAGCTTTAAGTCAATAAGGCAATTAAGTACAGGACTCACTGAATTTGGCTTAGATAAACCAGGATCTAAGGGAGCCATACTTCTTATCAGAAATTGCCCAGGCAGCAGAGGGCTTGCCTGATGTTTTAACTTAATTGCCTTTGAGGAGGCGTAAACTACAGAAATCTAAGGGACCTCTCCTCCTGCCCTGGACCATCCATTTTGGGGAACAACACATCAGTCTGTATTCACTTCACTTTTAGTTTGATTTGCTTTTGATTTGTTTTGATTCCTCCAGAATCTCAAGGAAGAGAAGTTCTAAGAAAACAGGGCTACTTGAATTTCTCCATCACTGCTATATTTCCCTTCCTGACATTAGTGGCTGCAAGAAACTATCTTTCCAGTGCTTACATCTCAGTTTAGTGACCCGGAATCTGTCATCTTCAAACAAATAAATGAAAAAAAAATTGTGGCCAATTTTTGCAGCAAATCTGCTGCAGCTACTTTTCTGCAAACATCTACAGGAATCTGCAGACACATCTCATACCCTGAAGCACTGTCTGCCTGTCTTGTTATTAACGAAACTTTATATGCAGGGTCTCTTGGAAAAAGATGTCCTATGCCCATTGAAAAAGCAAGCCCATATTCCAATGCAGAGTTGTTCTCTTTTGCATCTTTTCATCTCTGCTTTTACTGCATTGTTCAGCACGACCTTAACATGAGATACTCTAGGCAGGCTCGTATTGCAAGAACGTATAGGTGACAACCTCATAGTTCTACCTGGTTCTTGCAGTGGCATTTCTCGGACTAGCCCTGTACCTGCACAGATGTCTGAAACACTTAGTTTGCATGTCATTGATATTATTCTCAATGGTATCTGAAGTAAGAAAAGATTATTTAGGGCTCCTTTGTGTCCAAATAAACCAGAAACTGTTATTTACACTGTATAGTAATAAAAAAAGCTTCCATATATTTTTAAAGACAAAGTAATTTCCCCATAGAAGTTTTGGGGAACACCACATACGGCACCACGCTGCATTAAGTAATTCTAACTGAGTGCACAATAGACCAGTGAAACAATAGAGATCAAAGGAATAAGGAAATAAGCTTAAGATGTTTTTCTATCCATATGGAACAATGCAGACTATGCACTATGTAGATGATTAAAGCAATCATCTCTTCAAGAGTTCTTTGCACATACAGCCTTTAATCAAATTACCTCATCCCAGCACCACTGGCTATAAGCACCTGAGGCAGTAGCTTGCTGTGACAGAGTGCTTTCATATAGAGGAATAGTAGTAACGTTTCAGTAGGAACTGAAGAATATTCCAACAAAGCTTGGCTGCCGGGAAATGCCAATTTGTCAAGCCTGAAATGATTTGAACCCAACATTTCGGGTTCAACAAACTTTTGTCAAATTTACAGTTATCTAATGCAGAAATTAGTTGAGGTGAGGTGTGAATTGCTAGCTGCATTTAAACATTTGTCAAAATGGCTTCTTCATAGCCCAGATTTTTTTTTTTTGGGGGGGGGGGGGGGAGGAGAAGAAGCTGCAAGAGTTGCAAGAGTTTCAAGAGTTTAATTTCTCCTTTTTTTGTTGAAGGTATCATCCAAAACCATTCAGTTGCCAACAAGAAGTCCGAACAGGTCAATTTAAGAAAGCACACACACAAAGATCAACAAAGTTAAGCCACACCTGAAGTCCATTCTAAAATGTAATCTTAACTGATGAGCTGCATCTTACCCATCTATGAATTTGCCCTTGAGGACGTATTTCTCCACTCAAGTGTTTTAATAAGACTCCCAAACGAGCAGCTGTCTATCATGAATTCATTGTTCCAGTGAACCGCAATTCTACACTGCTGGAGGCTCACCACTTTTGAGATGCAATTCTGAGCAGTTGTTCCTCCCAAATATCCCTAATACCTCCAGTATTCAATAGCAATCAGTCCAAGCTGCAAGAACTGATAAAAAACGCGTACAGTATTTAGGCACTAGAGGTTTGCAAAGGCATGGTTGAACTGGAGAGCATCTAAGGGCTGGGATGCTACACTGTCACTTGGAGGTGAAATCTGGCTGAGATGGGAAGTACAAATCCCATCAACCCCCTCATCCTCTTGTGTAACGTAGTGCTGAAAAGTTTATTTATACAGAGAGCAGTAAAACAAATGACATGCTGGGGAGCGGTCCAGCTGCATTTGTATCATTGATGGAGACAGAACGGCTAGGCAAGCTACAGTAAGTGACAAGTCTTTCACAACAACTGGTGCTAGCTGTAGGCTCTGCAAACAGTGACAGTTCAATTCTGCAGTCCATAGCGCTGGACATGAATTCAATGAAGGGAAGAAATAATAGATTTATTCAGCCAAGTTCACCAGTATTTGCGCTAACCTGAAGATTTAAAATATTTAAATATAAATTATTATTAGACATGACATCTGCTGAGCAGAGTCTGAGATCTATTAGAAAGGATTAGTATGGCAAACAAAATTTCATTTTTCTTAATACCAGAATTTGAATATCTACTAAAAACTGGAAAGGGCTAAAGACAGCAGATTATAAACATTAAATGGTCAGGATTCTCTTCTTGTGCATACACTCACTTACAGTCTTATATAAATTACAGATATGCATCACTGTCACGCTGTAACAGGAATTGCCCAAAAACTACAGTTTGATGTTTCAACAGGAAAACTTCAGGCAAACAGCGGAAGTAGGGAGGATGAAGTAATACTAAGTTTAATCCATTCTGCCTAACAGAATTTGGGACCTGCTACCTTACTACTATCAAACCATGACATCTAGGACATGCTTCTTCTGTAATCCGTGCTAGGATGACACAGGAAAGTTAGTGATGCCTTCACAATATATCACAGAACTTTCCCATGCAAAGAGGACGTTGCAAAGATCCTTGAGAAAAAAAATAAACAAGTGGTTAAAAAAAAGATGACGACGACACAGCTAACTGGGAAGACACGACTCAAGTCCACTGTGAGAAACAGGGATAAATAGTAAACCTGCGTTCCCATTGCCATTCCACATCTCAGCTCAACTTCGTCAATGATCTGAACCCTGCCCTCACTTCAGTCTCCTTCACATCATCTTCACTTTGGCCCCGTTTTAAGCTCTCTTAACACAGAAGAGCAAACAGTCAAATTCTTCCTTAACAAAAATTTAAAAATAAAATTAAAATATCAACCCACCTTCATTGCAGAATCAATAGTTAGTGGGTCAGCACAACACAAACTATATTATCTAAGAAACTTTCTGCATAAGGTTCTGATGTTATCCACAGAAAGACTTTCTATGCCAGAACATTAATTCCTGTCCTTGTTTTAACCTAATGGAAATTTTGAAAGTTATACTGGGGGGAGGGGGAAATTTTATCAAAATTACACTAAAACAATTCTTCAGCTTAATTACGGTGCGTGCAGGTAATTCAAGCCTAAAATCTGACCTCTGTTTAAAGGGACTGTAGATCTGGAGGGCATACAACTATTATTCTGGTTTTATTTAAAAGACTACAACTTAAATGACGCATCTTCAGCCTTCTCGTGCCTCTTCTAGCAAAGGATGGTTGTTCAAGGCAAAGTTCCCCCCTTTTACTAGCATACGTACGTCAAATCAGTTATCAGAAATGACTCATGCTCTATTATATTGGTCTAAAAGGTAAGTAACACAAAGATTTTAAAAATATGTTTAAACTAACAGAACTTCCTTTTACAAGGGTGAAAGTGATACATGAACAGAAGCATTTGTAGTTCTGGATTTATGAAGGGCGGTCAAGTAACATGGCTCATCACCAGCAAAACACACAATTCTTGGATGATCACTGGCATTATGAGACTACTTCTGTTGCTGCCTGTCACTGCTCAGGGGAACCATCAGTTATTCAACTGTTAACTCTGTAAAAAGTTTTTGTCTGAATAGCTCAGTTTCTACTTAGTATGACCATTAGTATGACATTCTTAAAGTCAGGGAAAGATAAGCTACAAATAGGTTGTTACCGAACAAAGGGTTTTGTTAAACATCGACAAAATATAGTAGAATAAGAACTGCCAAACTAATCATTTTATCTTGGTACTGGGAAGATCTCCCTATAGTATGCAAAACGGCATGTGAAGAGCAGTTCCACATGAGAAAGTTAATGAAAAGAAAGCTAGAGTAAAAACGTACACTACCTGAACCAGGCTAGTAAGAAGAGAAGTTTTGAGTATTAGCAAAATTACAATTCATCAATCAAAAAGCAGACACAGAAGTTGCAGGGAAACCTTACCAGAACTCTATCTCCAATTTTGAGCTCCCTTTCTCCTTTCTTCACAGATCCTGCTTCAGAGAGATTTGATATAGATTCACTTGCAGTTTTTGAAAGATTGCTAATTTGAGGAGTTGAGTGCTCCTTAGCAGCAAGCGGTGAAGTTTTTTGTGGAATTCCTGAAGGGGGAAGTGCAGCAGGGGACGAAGACACCACACTAGCAGCTGATGTGGAAGTTGGGGACGTAGCTCTAGAAGCATGAACTGTCTGTGTACCATTGGCTTCATCTTCCGCCAGCACTTTTCTTGTCAACTTTGATGGCCTTGTAAATATTCCCCTCAACGGTTCACACTGGAAATACCGAACTCCAGCCACAGAGCCATCATTCTTACCGATTGGTTCATCTAGAACAATCCCTGCCCATTGTCCTGGAGCAAACTGAGTTTCACCAAGAAATTGAATAAAGCCAGGTTTATTTCCATTGACCCAAACGCGCTCCCCAACTCTGAAATCATCCACAAACTCCTCATGTGCATCTGCAGTGGTTGCGCTTGAGGATTTTTCACTGGAAGCTGCTTTTTCTGCAGGAGCTAGAATCAAGCACAATGAGAAAGCAACAAGAATCAAATACACTAATATTCCACTGGGCATCATTAATTTGTTTCAATTCAATGAGTGTATGGAAAGGCGTAATTTCTAGAAGAGCACAATTCCAAGTTTTCTTACCTATGAAAACAATGTAATCTCTGGAATACGTAATTCAAAGTCTAAGGACAGAGACATTGAATGCATTTAAGCTAATCTTTACAATATTTTAACCAAACCCAAGAAGTCAAACCTCAAAATATAAGCAATCATATTTATCACAATCATGAAAAAGTTTCTTCAAAGAAAACTGCTTGCTTCAGGTCAGTGAAAAAGCAGAATTCTGAATTAGGCTAAAGATTGTCAAGTATGCGTACAAAATAGTTATCTCACAGGACAACGAGATTAGCCTAAATGAAAATTACGTTCCATGGCTGACACAACCCAAATTGTTTAAACTAAATAATTTATGAGGGACTTTTGGTACCTAAATTCTTCAGTTCCTCTGAAAACTCCATCCTGAATGTCTAGTTACATTTGTTAAAACTGAGAAAACAGCTACTTTTTTCAGTGAAGGATTTAAATATACACAAAAGCTTGAACCCACAGAAAGCTCACATCCAAGTAGCCAGCAACAACTTTCAGGTGTCTTGATTTCCACTACTATACTTTAAGGTCCTTATTCCTCTTGAGAGCATCAGTAGAGATGCATATTTACACAACAGCTTTAGAAAAGCTGGACTTCAAGACCCTCTGCTACTCGCAAACTTCTGTTAGTGTATTAAGAACAGATGTCTGACAATGAATATAATTGCTTAACTACTTGTGATGATTCTTAGAACAGAACAATATCGTATATGATTTTATACATTGCTATTTTAGCAGAAACATGGAACCAAAAAGCTGGTTTACTGTACTTGCAGAAGTATACCTCAGCCAGTAAAACTGACAATACGCCAAGCAATTGTGGCAGTCACTTTCCCTCTACTTTAATTTGTTGAACTGTTTTCAGTTTGAAGTGGGGGTACGGTAGGATCAATGGGTTTTTTTTTTTTCCCCCCTACATTCCACCATGCTTTCAACACTACAGCATTTGCTTTTAAAAACAGTTTGTTTCAAACTAATGTTGCAGCCAATTAGTAAAATCAGACTTGACTGCAGGTTTCATATGTCATTTTTGTTAGATCAGAAATATGAGCAACAATAGCTTAGTATAAATAGTAAAAATAATCATATAATAATATATCATATAATCATAATAATCATAATAATCATAATCATATAATCATAGCTGTCAAGTTACTTTTTGTTTGAAGAAAAGACAAATAAGCAAAAAGTTAAGATATTTAAATATTCATTACCAGCTGCAACAGATGCAGGTGTTTTCAGTAATGCACTCCCAGGCTTGGTGATCTTTGAAGGAGCCTTAAGTCCACTTGGTTTTAACATACTCATCTTTTTGCAATGCCAGCGTTAATCTTCTTCAGCTGTAGTAACTATCTTTCTCCTAACATGGATACAGTATGTTCCTCTCTGTTTTCCACTTCTGGATTAAACCTGCATTTGAAAATATTAGACATGAAACAAATCAGTATTTTTTAACTCCTACGGAATAAAAAATTACTACATGCAGCCTGTATCTGAAAGTATACAATAAAAGATGCTTTACAACAACAACTAGAAGCATGTCCCGGGATAGCATTTCTAACCCTTCATTTCTTGAAAGGCATTTCCTATTAAAAGACACTAAGACTGAACTTAGAACATCAAAATAATTCACTTCACTGAATGCTGATGTATTCATCTTGAGCTCTAAACTAAAAGGCTATTTTAAGAAGGAAAAACAAAGCCCTTAACAGCATTACTAACAACATTACGCATAGATATAATCGCTCTGTGCACCCAACTGTTTTAAGCCACATTTTTCAAGGGTTGCAACATGCCAGTAAAAACAACTTGAAACTAGAGAATAACTACAGGAGAACTCAAGAGGACTGGGAATTTCAGGATAAAAGGAAAAAAGTTTTTTTTAAGTTATTGGAACTGAGAAACTCAGATTGATCATCACAGCTAGATGTTTATAACTAAAAAGTAAACATCCACCTCAGCTCTACTGGAATCACACACTTCAGATCACAAGACACATTAGCTCACAGTCCCCAACACAGTGCCCCAGCTACAACCCTCTGGAAACAGGAGGAGGAGGGACTCTTCCCTACGTTGCTAGGATAGAGCGCTGCTCTGATTTGGAAGCCAGCTATAAGCTTTTCAGGGAAGTATGCTGTGAGGTTTTTGCCACAGAAGGCATCTTCCTTCTGATTACAAAAGCTTTAGAAAGGCTTTTTAATTTATACTGTGAATTCCAAGCCAAGCTGTAAGCTGACTGGTCTCCCTGCTCTTTAAAAGCATAAACTGCTCTTCAGGAACATAGCTTAGATATTGGCTCAGCTTTATAGACATACATACGTACATATATAGCACTGGAAGGACAACTATGCCTGCTTAAAAATCACCAAATACCTAAACAAAAACCTAAAAAATATAAAGGAAACGTAGACCTGTAGCAATGTCAGATTGTTTGCTCAGAATAGGACAAACAAAAACTGTAAAGCAGGTCTCAGCCCTGCTATTTACTCAGCATCTTGGTACCAGTCATTCCATATGCCCAGGCAAAGAGCTGGCCAACAGCAGATTTCCCAGAACCAGTCTTACTAGCACCCAGGTGTGCACGCCAAGCACACAGTACATTTAAAGGCAAGAGATACACTAATAAAAAAGAAATCACTATGCTACAGTAATGAAGACTACAGAGAAACGCTACCCAGTCTTCACCAATATAAGTTTCACCCCTCATGTATTATTAATAGCAAGCACATCAGTGTTCCTAAAAATCAATTCACTGTGAAAAAAGAAATTGTCTGTCACACAGCTCTGTGAACCTATGACAAAGTGAAACACACTTCTTCTATTTCAAGATTGGTTGTCCCAAATTCAAGCCATTTTCTAATTAGTATGCAATAAATTTACACTTTAAAAAACGTTAATTACCACCTCAGCTGTATGGTATTTGTCTACAATTTAAGATATGCTGCATGAAAACTTTGAAGTAGCATTGTGCAAACTGCTGAACATTTCTTCTTCCAGCACTGCCAGAAGCATGTCACCCACCCATCTGCAGTTATGACTACTGAAGAGAAAAATTTCTCTGCTCTTTCTGTAAAATCCACACCAATTTACTACTAATTTTAAAATGGAAGCTTTCATATTCACAAACAGCAAAGCAGAGAGCAATATCTCTGAAATCAAAGTACAGGGACAGGTATGGCCCTGTTTCTTCCCAACCCATCAAAATCCACGGAACTAGCAAGCTGTATACAATGAGGCTAAACTTTGCGGTTTAATAAAGAAATACAGCCGCGTTACAAAGAAATGCCATTGAGATTAGTGCAAGACTTTGCTTTCCTTTATCAAAAATAAATCAAGTAGTTTTTATTTTTCAAAGTTTTAGAAAGACAGAAAATAAGTGTCATCATTACCTGGCTCTTCTTATACCGAATCAAGAGGAATGCTAAATACATTTTGTTATGCATCACTACAATTGGTAATTAACAGATCTAGACCTAGGATATACAAGCATTTACATTACTCTTAAACAATAAGCTATTCACCTAAAGGCTTATAATGCAACGGATCACCAATTATGTCTGTAACCCATTTCATCCAGTTCTGAATAACGCACTACCACAACACTTCCTTTCAAATTAGTCTCATGTTACACGTGGAGAAACCCTAATTAACGCTGATTCTATTAACAAAAATCACGGTTCACTTCAAAACTATCATACTGAACGAGTATCCTCCAGAATAAATAAAGACAGTTCAGTATTCGTAACTTGTGTTCATGTTTTAAGGAAAGATCTCATGGGCTTGTCTCCATTTGCCTTTGAAAAGAAGTGGCTATTCCAATTTTTTTTTTAAGCTACAAATCACTAAGAGGACTCCACTACGAAAAGCAACACAAGCACTAAAATTTCAACAGAGTATGGGAGGGAAGGAATGGTTAGAGAATATGCATACTGCGTACAGTTGAGAAATTGTTTTGAAAATAGGTTTCTACTGATCTTCCTCACTGCTAAAATAAACAGAGCATTACATCATCGATAGCCATAAAAGAGGGTCACGTGATCTCCAATGGAAAGAAAGGGAAACAAGAGAAAGGTGTCATTTGACCAGCACACAATTACTCAACCCTATAAGACAATTCTACTGAACCTCAGGAACTAAGTTGTGATTCTTGCAGCACTTCTCTTCAAGAGTCTTTCACCCATATCCTGACATCTTTCAATGGAAATACAACCCCAAAGTTGCAAACTCATCTAGGAGAAAAACAAACAGAGCAGAAAACAAGCAAAAAAAGGCTGCACAAAACTAAAAGAGCCAGTGAGATCTGGCAGTTTTCTTTTTTCTCTCCTCCCCCACTGTATGATGGTGCCACTTTTTCACCACTGATTGCAATTCCAAGTCCCGATAAAAATGAATTTGATACAAATACACAAATGCAACAATTATCAAGGTCAGAGTTCTTAGTTCACAGACCTCTCTGTCAGTAGCAAATACAAGGTTTATGAAAATTCAACTACCTCTTTTGGGCGAAAGGCAAGTTCCAAGTTCCCCCCTAAGAAAAAGGGCTTCCTAAAACCCGGAAGCAATATTCTACCATTCTCTTCCATGTCTGTATCTATATCCATCCTTCTTTTTTTCCAATCCAAACAGCATTCAGGAACCACAATGATAGCAACCATCTATATTTTGCAAGGATAGGTAGGTACAAAATATATGATATAAAATATAAACCTTGTGTAGCCCCTCCCTCCCCAAAAATACATCTTGCTTTTGAATAGTCACTTTCAAATAATTATTATTAAAATTTTAAAAGCTTTCGTCAACAGAAAGTTGCAATATTCTAATACTGCATTTCTTGGCATGGGGTACTCATTCATATTTTAATCCTGCTCTTCACAGTCATGCGTTATGTATCTGCTGTGTCATTTGCTTTTTTCATTATACAAGCCTTCAGCTAGGCCAAAAGTAACACAACCTCTTGTGCTCTGGTTTCAGCGTTACTGAAATTGTAGCTTAATGCAACAAACTGCTAAAATACAGGCAACTCATTTTGGTATATTACTGCCTTATTGCAATAGTGAAAATGCAACTTTCACTTTTAGAAACAACCAAGATCTTCATTTTCACATTAGTACTTTGTAACAGAATTCACAAAACACTGAAAGTTCTTAATTTTGCATCAAGTGATTTTAAGAATTATACACTTTAGCATTTCCTCACAGGCTCCAGATGACAATTTTCTCTTACGAGAACTAAAATGAACTAAAATAATTAGCTATTGTCTTGAATTGTTCACTTTCCTTTCTTGAATCTTTTTCATTTCTTGTGCAAAAGAACCTATATTACCAACAGGCAATAATTTAACTGCAAGTTTCGCAAAGATTGTATCAGGAAACTACAAAAATGCTGAGAAGCAGTCTGATAATCTGTCCTACTGTGGTGTTCAGAAAAGCCACACGTTCCACCTAAACAGTAACTGCGCTCAAAGAGGAGATTTTAAAACACAAGCTTTGTGCTGCTACTTTTAGGAATTGCGGGTGCCAGCACTTCTGTTGTACGCTTAGTTTTATCAAATACATACCAGACCATCCAGAAAGGCTGGAACGCATACACACACATGGTGGGGGGGAGACGGCGTGAGATGCTACAGCAGATATCAAACATATGATTTGCTGGAATTACGATTTTATATATGATAACGTGTTACATTCTCTTTTTTACATATAAGGTGGCAAATGACAGAACATGATACAATTGCAACTTTCTTCTGTGTGGACTACTACAAATTTTCAAATGCAGACGCGGAGCTTTGCAGTGCCACTTTTAACCGATCGGCAATTTGCTTATTCTTAGTTACATTTCCTCAGACCCCTTGAAAGTAGTCCCTGGACCAAAGCAGTCCATAAGCCACAGGCTGAAAACCACTGGTCTAAGAACACAAATTCTAATAGACTGATAACAGATATGAATTGTGTTGACAGGTTGTGGTAAAGGAAAAAAAAAAATTTAACCACGTAGCCCCAAGTTAAAAACCATACAGCCAGACAGTTCTGAAGTTTTTACCATTCACTGCTGAAACATACTTATGTCACTCAATTTAGTGCGCATCAAAAGCATCCCACTATTATCTTTAGTCTCAGAAACAGTCAATTTTCATGAGTGACAACATATTGAAAAAGTCTGAAGTAAACTAAAATCACAGAGGGAAGACACTCATTACTTGGGGGGCAGGGGGAGAGGGTGCTCACTTAAGGCATCTCAGACTGAACTCCCAGAAATTTAGACATCCAGAACTGCCAGTTGCTTCAGAAAATTTAGACCACAACATACAAGTGAAGGGAAAGACAAAGCACATTTTAGTGAAAACATCACATGAACTGCTGATTTGGAATTTAAACAGACGCACTGATTTGTGGTCAAGCTGTCTAATCATC